ACTATCCACATGGGTTATTAATGGTTATTAATTTAATGGATTATGACTTTAAATTTCGTGCACTCTTACCGAAAAGTACGTACAATGCCTGCGAATCACGTCCTCATATATACTAAATTTCGGCACATTTCACTTGCGAGAAACCTAATTGATTAAGTTGGGTACTTTAACTACGGATTACGCGTTTATTATACAAGATACGACAAAAGTGTATCAAACCTTATTTGTAGAGGATTTTCCGCTCTGCATTTTTTGTTTGAAAAATTTTTTCATACGATTTGCATTTTTCGAAATAAATACAAAAAACTAAAAAAAATCACGTTTTTTCGACGTTTTTTCGAAATTGCGGCCAAGATACGGCCGAGCGCCAATTTCTGCTGTCATATTTGTTTTCAGGAGCCAAAAATACATCAAAAACACGTGGTCGTTTGTTTCGTTTCGAATATGCAGCTCATCTGAAGGTTTACCGGGCCTTCATTTTTGGCCAGAAGTATTTGTATCTGACGCGTTTGTACGTTTTCGTCACACCCTTATGTCCTCCTATCGCGGAAGCGTGGTGTTCTTTTATTATCTCTTGCCATTGATTCTGCGGTGGCGTAATTATTTCGTTCTTGCAAATGGTTATAGTTACTCCCGAATGACTCAATATATTTCGTAGATTTTCGCGAACTCGTGCCCATGGTACGCTGCCGACGTTTCCTTTACATATAGAGAAAGATTGCAACCCGAGTTCCTTGATGACGTCTAAAAGCGAGTATATAGTTTCTTCTAGAATTTCTTTTTCTGTTATCTCCGATACCTTGTCTTTTATAGCGAGTGTAATTATGTGTTTCTGCTTGTATAGAATCGGTCGGGCGCGCGCGATGGTTACATTTTCTGTTGTGGGTAACATTTTTGCTTGATTTAATGCACGAGCACCTTCGTCACACGGTTCATTTTGTGGAGATATGAATACCACGAGATTATCTTTTCGATTTGGCAAGCTTTCACGTGAGACTTGGAACATTACTTTGTTTTTTTGAGTTAGTTCGTATGGCGTGTTGGCCTTGTCGAATAAGGTAGGTTCATTTTCAGTGTCGTAGTCAGTTTCACTGCTGCTGTCGCTAGTTACTGAATTCCCGTCATCGTCGCTATTCATGTCTTCTAAATCGTCTTGGTTATGGGGATCGTTCGGATCTGTGTCGTTGTTCGTGATTTTGTCGAGGAATTGGGAATCAGTGGTATTTGGTAGATCTGATGTCTCATTTATAGATGTTTCGTTTAATCGAGATATTGGTTCCTTAGGATTTCTTTGGCTGGGGGTATCGTCGTTGGGTTGGTTGGTGCCTTTAGGATTTTCTTTGGACTTCTTTCCTTTTTTACGACTTGGGGTAAATAGTTCATCTAGTTCGCTATCTGCAGAATCATGGAATATGAATGGGAGCGCGGGCTGACTTGGAATAATTGAAGTTACGGGGTTTCTAGATAGGGCGTCTGCGTTGCAATTATTCTTTCCTGCTTTATATACAACGCGGTAGTCGTACTCAGCAAGTTTGAGACGCCAGCGTATTAATCGCGATGTTGGGTCTTTAACAGAATGCACCATTGCAATGGTTTATGGTCAGTTAATATTGTGAATTTATTTCCATATAGATAAGGCCGGAAATGATTCGTGCAATATATTATGGCTAACGATTCCTTCTCTATTGTCGCGTAGTTTTGTTCGGCATTATTAAGTAATCTAGAAGCGTATGCTATCGGTCTGTCTTTACCTACTTCACCTTGGCTAAGTATTCCTCCTATTGCGTAGGCGGAAGCGTCTGTAGTTAAGATAAAAGGCTTGGTAAAATCCGGGTGGATAAGCAGAGGCTCTTCGCACAGGCAATTGCGTAATCTTATAAACGCTTCTTCTTGTGGTTCGCGCCAGTCAAAAGGTTTGTCTTTCTTTAACAACGATGTCAAGGGTTTGGCTATGTGGGAGAAGTTGTTAATGAACCGGCGGTAGTATCCTGCTAATCCGAGGAATTGTTTGATGTTCTTAGCGTTACGCGGTCGTGGGTAATTTCCCACGGCTTCTAATTTCTTGGGGTCCGGTTTTACCCCTGCTTCACTAATTACGTGCCCTAAGTACGTGACTTCCTTCCTTAGGAATTCATATTTATCCGGTTGCAGTTTGAGGTTAGCTTTCCTCAGTCTTTCAGCTAATTTGTTAAATTTCTGCGCGTGTTCCGTCAAACTACTTGCATATATTACGATATCATCTAGGTAGACGAAAAGTTCGATTCCCTGTAACCCTGTTAGAACCTTATCCATTAGCCTTTGGAACGTAGCGGGCGCGTTCTTCAAACCGAACGGCATGCGTTTGTATTCGTAATGACCAAAAGGTGTCGAGAACGCGGTTTTTGAGCATCTTCAGTTTCCATCGGTATTTGGTGGAAACCTGACGCTAGGTCGAAAACACTAAAATACTTCTCGCTGCCTAATTGGTCTAAAATATCCGTGTTATTGGGTAACGGGTACGCGTCTCCAAGGGTTTTCTCGTTTAGGGCCCTAAAGTCTATTACGAGTCTCCATCTCTTGTTACCCTTTGAATCGGCTTTCTTAGGAACTATCCAGAGGGGCGAATTATACGGTGAATCTGATTCCGCTATTATTTTCTGTTCTAACATGTTTCCTACTTGTTGGTTTATCTCTTCCCTATGCACCTGGGGAAATCGATATTGTTTAACGTGGATGGGTTGTCCATCCGTGGTATTGATTTTATGTTTGATAGCGTTAGTGCAGCTCAACTCCTCCGTAGGAAGTTGAAAGAGGTCGTTATGCTTTTCGAGAAGGTTTTCTATGTGACGAGTTTCTTCCACGTTGAGGTGTTCTAACGTAAGCAATGATTTGACTTGATTTAGTCGCTCTCCCTTGTTAATAGATGGTGGGTAGCAACGGCAGTCTGTTGTAGAGCAGCGTTTTATATGAATCGGATTAACAACGCTATACTTTGTGGAGATTGCTATTTCAATAAATCTGCTTACGACCGTAGTTTTTATGATTTTGTTACACGCCATTATATTCATATAGGCCCCGCGTTTCTTTT